CTGCTGTCTTTTATCAGAGAAGTTTTAAGATTGTCAGGTATTGAGAATTTCTTCAACTTTTAAATTCATCATCTGAAGCCAAAAGAATATTGGAGAAATACGTAGGAGTTTCTTGCTGACTGCCTTTTACTTTATGTGTAATGTCTTGCTATGTAACTCCATGTGTAAAATCAGGCCATAATGAGAGCTTCAGGGCATTCTTAAGCTTCCCTTGCATTTGTTTTAACACATTCGCTTGGTTTATTGATCTGAATTAATCTGTCGTGTGTAGTGCAGTAGTTCATTTGTAGTCTCAAATATTAGTATATGGAGAATGTTGAGGATTTTATCCTGATACATGATGTTAGATACTTCTATTATTTCATACTAATGAGAACTTGCTAATAAATGACATTTATGCAGGGTGGGCTTGGTGGAATCAAAAATCCGTATTCTAGTTGGAAACCTGGAGAAGAATGAATTCATTACACTGGCTCATGTGAATCCACAGTCATTCCCAGCACCCAAGGAAAATCCTGACAAGTAAGCAAAACTGTTTTTTCATGTAATGGTGAGGAACTAGCTTAGCTAAAATACCAATTCATTAATAAATAAACTAGCATTTTTATAGAATCTTAAATGGATTAATTTTTAATGACAGCATCTAAAGGCAAACAGTTTTAAGCTCTTCTCAAGTGCTCTTTGTAAAATTAGATGTTCTTTATTCTATATAAGAATGTTTCTAAGCCAAAAAATAACTTTAAGGAAAGAATATATTTTTGCTAATAACTGTATTAATCGCATAATTTCTTGCCAATAATCCATGTTAGCTACTGCTACTTTTAGCTGACGTTGTTTGAGCATGTAAGACAGTTTTCAGTACGAGGCAGCACTGAGAATTGGGTAGAACATCAGGCACAGTAGAACCGAAATCTTGAGTAACTAAGTACATTTAATGTTCTTAATTTTAGCAGTTGAGGTGCGTATCATTTAAACTTGGTAATGGCTGATGTTAGAATTCCTCAGGATGTGGAAACAGTGGAGAGAATACCAAGCACTTCAAATGGTTTAGGATTACATGTTTTTGAAATCCTTCCCCCCTCTTCCACCTCCTCCTCCCCCATTCAAAACAATGATTGCAGGTGTGTGGGCCAAAAACTTTTTTTTAAGACTTTATTTTATTTCTAGATAGTGTTGTAATTAACTTGTAAGGAATCTTATTTTTGTGTGAGAGTGGGAAAGAAATTTTTGTCTTCAGTGGGAATATGTGAAAAGCCTGGTTTGTCTTCCAGCCTTTTCCAGACATCAGCTGCTTCATGTGACAGTATGGTGCTACTTTTGTTTTGAACTTATATACATAATTTGCATGCATGTTCCAAGTGAAATTGGACAAAAGCAGGCAGTACCTCTTCAGCACCATTTTAGTGCCTAAATACAGCTACAACTGCCTGCATAATCACGGGCTCCGATTAGCTCTTCTTTCAGAGGACTTGATGCAGGCAATGCTTTTAGGAAACAGTGTAAAACAATGTATGTTCTTTCACCTGCCTGCCTAAATTTGCTCATTGATTGATTGGAAAACAGTGTTGTTCTGAAATAGTCTTACAGGGAAAAGACATTTGAATTAAAACATTAAAAGCCTTTAGCTGATACAGAAGCTGTATTCTGTAATAGAATGTAATCGTTCATCTCCCATGTATATTATGTAAAGGTGAGCTGTCAAAGGGAGGCGCTTCTCACTGGAAAACTGCACTTTGTGGTCAGTTACAGCTAAATCTGAGAGTTCAAGACAAGATTAGGTGGCAAAATGGAAGTTGTTTAGTCAGGGAATAGGTTCTAACTGCTTTCAGGGTGAGGTGCTGAAAATCTGTAATCTCCTTTCAAACCTATTCCCTTTACCATTGTGTTGGATAGTTGTAACTCCTAAGAATGAGAGAATCTTTATAGAAGCACAGATGAATGAAGTAATCTACTGATGATCTTAGTTCATTAAGTTTGGTGCAGATAGATGTGTCAGTGTTTCTTGACTTTTTTGTATTGGAAATGAAAAGTGAATGTCATTAAGTCAGCTTTGGTTTTTGCCTTTCTGTGGCTAGCCCCCCATTGCTAGTGGAGCTAAAATGTACAGCTGTTGTCTATTGCAGCAGATAACTTATTGTTCACTTCTTCTGTCAGTATTATATGACTGTTTTATATAAAATTTTCCAGGGAAGAATACCGTACAATGTGGGTGATTGGGTTGGTGTTTAAGAAAACTGAAAATTCTGAAAATTTAAGTGTTGATCTTACCTACGACATTCAGTCTTTTACAGACACAGGTGAGTTTTGCTTTCTAGATGTTCTGGTATTAATAAACTTGTTGAAGTTGTTGTCTTTGTGCATAATGTAGTCTGTTTGAGTAGTAGAATTGTATCTAGACATAGAATAGAAGAATTCAGATAAGGAGATAGGATGTTATTTAATGAAATACAGTTTTAATAAGTTTTGATGCTTCTGGACACTTCAGACTAACAGTTTTCAGTTTGTTTTCATTAAAACCAATTAAAACAGTGCACACAAATCTTTCAGATCTCACTAAAAATGGTACATGATATTGTGATCTTTAATAAAGAGACAGATTGGTTATCATATGCAAACTACCTAGCTTAGGTGAAACTGAATTTATCAGGAGATTAAAGCTGAGTACCTAGCAGGCTCTAGAACAAAATGCCTTTTATTCCATGGCAGTTCATACTAGCTAGTTGGTTCAGTAACTTTTACTTTCATGTCCAACACTCAGTGCAAGAAACCTTTTTGACTTTTTCTGGTGCTTACTTTTTGATTCACAGAAATAATTTAGAACACATGTAAGAAACTTGTAAGCAAAGAACTGGTAACAGCTGGAGAGTATGACTATCCAGAGTCTATGACTAAGAAAGGAACCATATCTTTGGCAGGCTTATCAATAGTTTTGCAGTTTTGTTGGTTTTGGGGGGTTTTGTTTGGTTTTTTTCTTAAAAAAATGCCAGTTAAGGCTCAAGCATTACATGTTTACAGAATTAAAGGAATAGGTTCAACTGCTACCTAATGACTTAATGCAACCCTGGTCTCTGGATTTCTGAGGCTCAGTGAGACTGGAAGTGAGGAAATTGTATACCCCCATGCCCTTCCACACACCCTCCCACCCCCTGGTGTGGGTGTATGAGTTAATATGATATAGATATATTTTTAAGTCAATCATGCCAAGGTTTGTAAGTTGTGGGGTTTTTATTTATTGTCCTGTATCACTATAGTGGGGGGTCTGTGTGTGTGTATGTATATCTGCCTTTTTCGGTTAAAGGGATTTTTATTTTCTATAAACATAGAAGATTCCTTTTGATTATAAGTGGTTAAGGTGGAGCTATAGACATATCATCCTCATTTTTGAGAATTTTGAAACGGCATAGTAGCTTGGCTGCTGCTGTGGAGGAGTGAAGGGATCTATGAATTACAGCTTCTCAGGTCATAGGTGTTTCAGTAGTGTACTTGTCAGAGAGTTTTGGTATGAAAATACTGAAACTTGCACTTAGATTTTGAATCTGATTTACTTGCACTACATTCAAATCTGAAATTTGTCTAAATATATGCAATTTGTAAATGAAGTAGCATTTAATCAAAATCATTGTAGACTGTGTTGTGTAGTTTTCTGTTCAATTTGTAAATACACTTCCAAAGGTAACCAACTAGCAAACAATTTCTGCTTTTGTGTGTTGGGTTTTTTGTCATCTCAGATTAGTTTGGGTCTGTCTAGTTGTTTTTAATCCGTCCTGAAAAGGAATAGATCCTAAGATTTTTATGAAAAATACCAAAGCACTTTCAATAATGCAGTTAGGGAATAGCTTGCTTTTTAGCAGGAGCAGGGGGAGGAGGAGAGCCATGAGGAATGGGCTAGGTTTTCCTTGTATTGAGACTTTGGTAAGACCTAACATAAGGAATACGGAATGCCTTAACCATGTCTGGCTTTCCTGAGCGTGCCCCTACCTTAACTGTAACTTGTCTAATCTTTACGCAGAGGCTTTATGAGCTTCTTCAATACCGAGAATTAGTGCAATAGGCTCTTTAACATGCTGTATGCATTGAGCTCTTTGTGTGTCTGTCTCTTAACAGCTTTTTAATTACACGTTCATGGCCTATTCAATGAGATTCTGTAACGTTTTAGAATAGACAGTGAGTAAGGAAGATACCTCTTAAGTTTTTGTATTTAAGATCTACAGAACAATTTTTTTATTCATATGTCTGCCACAGCTTTGTTCAACGCTGTATAGAATGTTGGTGTGAAAGAAAAACGAATTTTTCATTTTTACCTGGCTTTACTTGAACCCAAGATGTTGGGTTGTAGTGCAGTTCCTTAACTAGAACTAACGATGTTGACTCACCAGAAGTAAATGTTCTGAGGTAAAGAGAAATAGCTCTTTATAGTAGACATAATTTAAAAAACAACAAAACCAAAACACAGCAGAAAATACCAAACGTAAATCACTTTTGTATAAAAATGTAGTGGTATCTGAGTTGCCATAATGATTTGTAATATATTAGCTGGCCCACAAGCATTCAGCTCCTGCGTTGGAAACCATTTGTTGTAGAAGCTGCATAAATAAAAGCTAAATCAACTGTGAAGAAAATAGTTTTATGTAAATACTGTAATTCTTATGAGAAAAATCTTATTTTTTTCTGTAGTCCCTTTGAGATGAAATGAAGAATTCACTTCAGAGCTATTACTGTTAAAACTTGTTAACAATATAGTTTAGAGAACCATGTGCTTGCAAGATATTTTTCTTGGAAAACAGGTCACCTGTTTCCAAAGTAACGTTTTTGTGTTTGTACTACCAGTGCTGGCATACAGGCCATTCTCCTTCTTTCTCCAGAACAAGGAAACGCTATGCTTGTTCTTGAGGGTAATAAATGTTCTGAAATGGAAATTGTTTCTGCTGGGGCAAGTAAGTGGACTTTGCAAAATGCTTCAATATGTCTTAATGTTATTCCAATTGTGTAGTTTATAGGCAAGCAATAAACAGCAAGATGTTTGAGATGGATATGAAGATTGCTGCAAGGCACGTGAAACGTAAGCAACTTCACCAACTGCTACCTAATCACGTGCTTCAGAAAAAGAAAAAGGTAAACTTGGCTAATATTTGAGAGCAATAAAAATGCCATTGAGAAATGATTCCTCAGCTTTTTAGATTTACTAATCAAAGAACTGAAAGCACATTTTGAAAGCTTAGTTTTACCTGTATAAGCAATGTGTTCTCATTTGACTGTAGCAGTATTACTAGATGCACTAAATATGATATTAGATTTCCCAGGACATCAACAGCATGGATAGTATCTTCAGGTCTGGCTGAAATACCATATTTTGTTGGCCTTCCTAAACTAAACTGATTTAAAACACTGTAATAATAAGGTTTTAAAGCTTTCTTGCTATTTTGACATGCAGGTCACCTAAAGGAAGCATCTGTAACAATACCAGTAGAACAATCAGTCAAGCAATTCTTGCTGTCTCCAGCTTTTTCCTCTTAAGTTGTTATTCCTTAGATTTTTGTGTGCTCCTAAATGAAAAATCGCAAGTCGTCATATAGAAGCAGAGTAGAACATTGAACTTGTTGCTGCCTTTTTGTACCTAAGACCGTAGTCTGTTGCTGTAACTGTGGTTGAATACTTTTAATTAAAATGTTTAAATAACAGTTGCCCATTACCTAGCCAGTGTTATTTTCTCCCTCAATATATAGTTTAACTGTGTGGCCATACATGAGAATGGTAGCAAAATTTTTAATGGAGCTGTTGTGTTGGATGTGATTTACTTCCACAGGAGGCAGGAAGAAGGGGTGGAATGTTGAATTTAACAATTTAGTCTGTATTTCAAATTCCTGCTTCTCTGTGTTACCTTAATCCGAGAATAATATAGGTTTGCTTGTTTTTGTGAATAGCTGAACCACTGTTACATACTCTGTTTTAGGGATATCTGAATGACATGCTTTATTGCTATAGCTGTTTTATATTAACTGCTTTTTTAAAGAATAGGAAATCTTGTACTGAAATGAAGTGTAAATCTGTAATACATTTCAGAGGACAATGTAAATGCTAAGAAATACATCTCTTTAAGTAGTACTATGTCAGATGAGGGTTTCTCTTCTCCGCTGACTGTCCAGGTTCAAATCAGTCTCTAAATTCTCTGTAGTAATTGTGGTTTTGGTGTACATCAGTATTACTTTGAAGTTAATGAAAGCAGTATCTGTAAGCCCACAAAGAAACTTGAAATAAAGCTGAAAATACAATCACTAAAGATAATAACAGTTTATCTTCGTGTTTGGAACATCATTGGTTCAGACAAATCTGTACCTGAATTGTGAACGTGAAAATGTAAATGCTTGTAGTGACAGGACAGTGGATTATCTACATGTAAAAGGATTTGAAAACTGTCCATTTAAGTTTTGCATTTTTAAATGCTACTACTTTCAGGGTTTTCTTCTAAAAACGTACTTAAATTTAACTGCATTTAAGGTACACGTGCATGCTTAGTTCATGGTGGAAGTTCATCAGTTATATCACCTTGTTTCTTTTTTCTTCACAAATGCAACAGCTAATATTTTGCATAACTGAAATATTACATCTCCTGAATCTTTGTTGATTTTTTAAGCCCTTAATAAGACTAATAACATTTTCATTTGTCTTGTGCATTGCAGCATTCAACAGAAGGGATCAGGTTGACAGCTCTGAACGACAGCAGTCTAGACTTGTCTATGGACAGTGATAACAGCACGTCTGTGCCTTCGCCTACTAGTGCTATGAAGACGAGTCCATTGAACAGTTCTGGAAGTTCTCAGGGGTAACGAAGACTTTCAGTCTTGTTGCTGCTCTCTGTTCCTGAATTACTTGTGTTAAAAGCATAGCAAATACTACATGTGTGAGATACAGGTATCAAGGTGTGAATGTTCCAAACTGTAGCTTGCAGACATTCTCAGTTTGAGCACTGGAGCAGGTCTAAATTTGGGGGATACGGACCATGGCATTGGACTTCAGATAAGAAATTATGAAGTTGGGTAAAGATGCTTAGAAAAACAAGGTGATATGAAAACTTGGGGGCACTGCAGTAGGAAGCTGCAAGAGGTAGTGAGCAGGAAATTGAGGTGTGAGAGTGAGGAAGAATTATGTGAATTTGGGATCAAAATGTGAGACATTAGAGAAGTTTAGGCTCTCTGTCTGGGAAATCAGTAGTGGTGCTGCTATTGCTGATATCATCTATGCAAGTTAACCTTAGGAACATAATTTTTCCATTGTATTTTCAAAGTGTCCATATTAATGCTTATCTTAATCCTAACTTTCCATATTAAGTTTTCTCTTATCTAAACTTCAATTTGCCCAAGTAAGTGAGATTCTACTCTCTCTTCTTTGAAGAGTCTCATGTTTGTCTATTTGATACACGGAGAAGCTAACAGCAATCTCCTACAGTATTAGGTGTGTATTCTAGAATGTTGTGTAGGACAAAATACTTCAAGTTCACTCAACTTACTCCTTTTGGCAAGTGCTCTTTTAGTTGGTCTTCCTTCCTTGGTAAATGATTTTCAATAGTTGATGCTACTGACCAAGCTATTAAACCAATCTATGGTATCTAGGATGTCACAGTTGAAGTGGAAATTGCCCTGTGTTGATTTTAGACACATACTGCTTCGCTATTTCTTGAAAATGAAAAAAACAAGGTTTTTTGGTCATGTGAAATCCCAGGCCTTTGCTTGGGAAGTCCAGACTGAAATCATAGTTGTAATGGTGTGTGCAGATTGAAAACAAACTTTCTGTTTTAGTCCTTCTACACTGGTTCCATCCTTCAGGAAACCAGATGCTACGTTTCCCCCTGCACCTTATTTGGGCAGACATTGCCTTAATTATTGCCTCTTTTTAATGCAACTTCTCAGTGGTCTAAAAAACTGTCTCTGAAGTGATTCAGATTAAATACTTGAAATAGCTGCCATTGCTCAAGTTTGATAGTAGATTGCCAATGCTCATTTCTGTCTTCCTATTGTGACATAGTATTATAACTTCTGCTCTGAAATGTAGGTAAAATCCTATCAGATATGGTTAGTGGCTATGCATATAATGTGATGAAAGGTAGATCATATAGCACCGTAGTTTTACTAATGTTCAGCATTTCCTCATTTTTCTTTCTTTAGCAGAAGCAGTCCTGCGCCAGCTGTAACAGCAGCATCTGTGACCAACATACAGGCTTCTGAAGTCACTGTGCCACAAATAAATTCCAGTGAAAGCTCAGGGGGTAAGGAAAATGGCGTAATATATTGTTTCTATTGATTTTTTTTTTTTTTTTTTTTGATTTTTTTTTTTTTTTTTTTTTTGGGTAACGCTTATAAAGTGGTTTTTCTTCCAGTTTGCAGTCTTTATTTGACACATGCTGTAATACGTTCTCCTTGATACACAGATTTAATTTCTTTAGGTCTCAGGAAATCATGGTGGAATATTTTGTGCCGCGATGTTTGTTTTTTCTTTTATTCTTAGGGAGTTATATTTGCCATTCACAATAGCAACAGTTTTCTGATGACCTGATGCAGGTCTGTAGTTCAGTTGGTCAGATGAGGAAAAACTATCTAAGGCTGGAAGCACAATTTTTGTATTGATTTTTTTTTTAATCCATTTTGTAGTTAAGCCCAAGAGTTGGTTCTGTACTGTCTGTGCTCCCATGTTCCTGCTCCTTGTGCTTCATGAAATTGATTCTAGGAATGAAAAAGACTCAGATGTAAGCAGAACACGTGCTCCTTACTGACATCTCTTTAGATATGTCCCACTGTGTTTTCTGACTTTATCTTCCATATTTTCTACAAGAAAAAGTACATTTCACTTAATACTTTAAAAAAAAAAATTGACATTTTAGTGAAAAGTCAAAGACATGTGGTGAAAATATTCACTTAGTAGAGTCAGCTACTCCTCTTTTTTGATGGAACTTTAGCTGTATACAAGGAGCAAGTCAGAAGCAGATGGAAAAGGGGACCAACTGGTTAGCCTTTCAAGATGAGTTCTCCCTTATTTCACTCTGATATGTGGGATGGTTGGGTCTTACTGTTCTGATTTTTATCATAAGTCACAGGTGCATCAATGTAAGTTTGTCCATGAGCACTAAATGGAGCTTAAATTGCATGACTGTTTTATGGATTTGGAAGCATATCAGAAGTTTTTCATTCTTGTATTTTGGTTAATCAAAAGCAGTCACCTGATAGTTACTAATGAAAAATTTCCTCAGTGTAATTTTTCTCAACCTGGAGCATCTCCCTATGTGTGTTTATTGGTTTGAGGTAGGCAATTGATGAGGTAGAGCCTTGTCATCTGAAGCATTTTTCAAAAGGATGTATGGAATGTCAGATCTTTGTCTGATGCTCCGTGGTGACTTCATGTCCATCATTGCATACTCTGAGCCTGAGAAATTATAAACTTCATGTTTGAGTGACAAAGGGAGCATGAGATTGCTCTTGTATTTGGTTTAAGGCAGTATTTGGTTTAAGGCAGTCTTTGGCAATGCACATATATGGCCGAGTACAGAAACAGTAAAACTTCTTCGGATACCAAGAATAATATAGCTATATTAGCACAGAGCTCTGTCTGGGCTAGTACACCCTGCTGTTAAGCAGGGTTAATTAGACCAGAGTGTCACTGACGTGGCTATCCTGTATCTGGTACAGGAATTCTCTCTCAGAAGGAGCTTGTATGCACACCTGCTGTTCCAAACATGATGCACCACTAACTGTACCACTTCCTTGATGCCTGCTTGATACCAGTGTTTTGAGTAGAGACCAAAAATACCAGAGATTGAACTGAAATCGTTGTGTCAACTCATATTGTTGAAGCTTTTAAAATTATTTATCCATAGGTACTTCAAATGAAAGCATTCCTCAAACTGCCACACAACCAGCCATTTCTCCACCACCAAAGCCTACCATCTCTAGAATTGTTTCCTCAGCGTATCTATTAAATCCATCACCAAGAACTTCAGGAAATGTTGCAACAAAAATGCCTAGCCCTGTCACAGCAGTGAAAAGGACGTCTTCTCCACATAAAGAAGAGTCTCCCAAGAAAATGAAAATTGAAGAGGTATTTGAGATTTTGAGATCATACCATAGCAATGTCCAAAACTTTGAATATTCATTTCAGCTGCAGAGTGTTGATTGTCATATTCCAGGTTTCAAATATTTTATTAAATGGGTTGTATGTTTCCTGCTCTGGTTGTGTTGTTGCTTTATGTATTCAGCTTATTTAGGTGTTAGTGGGTTTTTTATTACACTGATGTTCATCACGTGATGACACTGCATTAGCACAAATGCTTAGATTATAAATTCTTGTCTTAAAAGCAATTTTTTGTGAGGGTGTAACATGTTAAGTCTTACAACTAATTATGTCTTTAAAAACACTTTATGACTTTATTGTTGATTTTTAAAAATGTGTTTTTATGATTTTTTAATAGTTTTCTTGGAAGCCAAAGTAGATTGTGTGAAATAGAATAGCTTTATAGATTTGAATGAGCATGAAAAAATGGAAACTAAGGTATTTATGCCTGGAACATATAATTTTGTGTATACTAATCGGGGCTCTTCCTAGTGAAAATTACTGTGTTCCCCTCTAGGAATGACTGTTTGTAGATACAGCATAGGCTCTTCAGTAAAGATATCAAAGTTACATGTTATTTTTCAGTGTATATGTCAATATTAATGAATTGTAGTACATTACCCCTAAGCTGAACCTGAATCCATGGTCACATAGGACAGTGATTTCTTTGCTGGTCATTGACGCAATACTATGTGTAGTGAAAAAAGTAATGATGACATTTAGACTTAAATTTATTAAATCAGATCATACACCTTGTTTTGCCTGTATCCTGAACTCAATATATATTACTTAGTTAAAGAACGGTTGTCCTGTGTATCCATTAGGATTTTTGCATATTGGGCTGAGAATTCCTAAGCCAGGTGCTACTTTGCTCACTTTTTAGATTAAAAAAAAAAATTCAAATGATGGTAAATAAATCTTTTCTGATAGTAAAATTATTGTATGAAGTTACAGCATACCTTCTGGGGACTTCCAGAGATTCAAGCATGCTCCTCCAGTATATTGTAATTTAGCAGACAATTCTTCTGCTTACTGGTGAACAGGAGGGGTGACAGTCTGTCTTTAGCCTTATGATAGCAGCTCTCCACTTGGGTGGATGTGTTTTTTACAGGGCACATTGTGTAGTATTTGGAATACTCTGGAAAATATGCTGAGAAATTAAAATATCTGTTAAAGCATTTTAGTGCTTTGGTTTATAGTTTCCACTCCCTTAAGTGGAAACTATACTTCTTGTTATGTAGTCACCTTGAAATCGCTTTGAACTCAAGACAGGTGAAGGCAGAAATGCATGTAAGCATTTAATCCTAACATTGAAAATAGATCCTTTGGATACAGATCATTATAAAAGACATAGGTAATCCTGCTAGCTTTTATTGTCAGTCTCCTCTAAATCTTATGTCCTTAATATGCATGGAAGGCAGTGGAGGAATGAACTTCTTTCACATAAACGTAGGTTTTTCTCCATTGAAATGTGTGCCTTTTTGTTACAGTGTGGTTCACTAAATGATACAATTCTAACTAACAGGCTGTTTTCATTAGAACGAGAATGTGACACTGACCTGCGTTAGCCATGCAGTCCCACTGTTTTACCTGAAAAGCTGCCTCTGACGTTCATCTGTTAATCCAAAAAACTGATTCAACCCATTAAAGTAGCAGGAAAACTTTTCCAGCAGAATGGTGAAAGGAGTGGAAAAGCAGTTGAATTTGTTGCGCAGCTTTGCACATGGTCTTCCTTGACGCTACGCTTTTTGTCTTTAATGAGTTGAATGACATGCAATGTTTTCCTATAGGATTCTGTATAAAAGGTGTTAAGTGGATAAACAAGTGCCAACTGAGAAGTGATGTAGCTTATGTTGATGTCAAATTCCTAGTCAGCAAAACATTCTCTAGTGCGGCGACTTCTGTATTATAAAAGGATGGGTATCAATGCAGCAAGTACTGACACTTGCCTTTTTTCTTTTGCTGTATATGCACAGCTTAAGGCATTCTGGTTAACGGAGTTCTGTATAACTAGGTTTTATAGTTGGAAGCAGCGTAACTGTGGTGATGCTTTTGGTTTTTTAGGAGCAACTTGAGACAGACGTGAATGTTAATTCTCAAACAGAAACTCTTCAGACAACTTCTCTGCAAGCTCCTCAGGTACTGTTTTTAAAAATACCTTCTCTGTGTGTGTGTGTGCGTGCTTAATCTGTGGTGAAAATATTGAAATTAAAATGAGTCCAGAAGTTAAAAATAAATGTATAATTTTTAATATAAATCCACTGTATGGAAAGCTGCTTGTTGTTACTGTCACAATTTTTGTGTTTTAGATGGTCATTGATCTTATTGAATGTGCATTGTAGCTAAACATGTATGGCTTGCCATACAAACTGACCGAAGCTGGATTCGCTCTTCTGAATTGTGCCTTCAAAGTAAGGGGCTCAGTTTATTCCTTTGTGCTTTGCACATCACAGAATAATCCTTTCTAACAAGGAAACAAATGCTTTAAACAGCTGCTGCTCAAAGATAATCTGGTAGAGGTTGAGAATGTCTGAAACGTAACTTCAAATTCTGGTATTTGGGGGAGAGAGAGAGAAGTTGTACTCTTATTGTTCGTTAGCCAGCTGTGTTGCTCCACTGCAGGTATTGTAAGTGTAAGGAGCACTGGAAAAATAGATGTTAAAAATTCTGTGGCTTTCACTTAAATTTTTGTTCTTAATATTGTAACAACTTCTAGAGAACACATCTTTGTCTTTTACTAGCATTTTTAAGCTTCTCTTAGTGCTCTACTGAAAAAGTTTCACTATCACAAAGCCTTTTATGCTCACTTTACTCATCTAATGATATGTAGTAAATGTATCGATTGAAAATGGAGATATATTGCAATAGTATTAATGGCATTTGTTATAGGACTTTTTGAACTGTATGAGCAGTACTGAAATAGGTACCACAATTGTTTGGCAAGATGTTAAATGGGCACCCTAAACTGCTTCAGGGCAATTTTTAGATCATTTAAAGTTTATTTCACGTGTTGTTGAGGGATGATTGTATAAAGTTTCATAGCTTTTACAAATTGAGTAGTTGTTACTTTAGCAAAAGTAATCTGGAAACTGAAAAAGAATGGTGGGCCTCTTCTGTCATTTTTCAGTATTCTCGTGGGCTTTGTTTTGTGTTCTGCAACACTGCTCATGTTGCAGAAAATAGAAACATGTTAAACTGCAGGTCAGCACCAACCAGAGTGGGCTACTGGGGCTGGAGGCAGGCGGGAGGTCAAAGCTATTTTGTCTCGAGTCCTTGTTGCATTGCACTTTGCTACCGCATCAGTCAGTGTTGACTCGGTTGATTTCTTTTTGATAAAACAACAATTAAGAACAGTCATTCTAATGTAGTTTTTCCCATGTATCAAATGTACCTTATAGTAATTTTGAATGTTTATAACATAAAAAAACCATTTTCTGATAAATCATAGCAAGTAATGCATAATAACTGGGTTATTGTGAC